TAAACAACAAACCTAATTAAACAGTGGTGTTTTGGCTAATTTGCTGCCAAATGTAAATTTATCTCAAATTGTAACTGGAAGCTCAAATAAACTATAATGCTTTGATGTTCTTCTTGATACAGGTGTAAACAATATAAATAATCTATACAACTGTATGACACATACACGCACACATGCAAAGACGCGTTTAAATAAATGCACTCATAAAGACCGGTACAGATGATATGCGTTTGACGCGCGTTAAGCGCGAAGTATTGTTATACTAAAAATAATGTAGGATGATCCCTGAGACATTTCATAAAAATCTACACAATATAACCTTGTAACGACGAGCACTAATTTACTTATTTTATAAACTATTTTCATAAGCCTTGCTTTTTAATGAATAGTTTTGTTTAATTAAATTAAAGTAAAAAGAAAAAGCTCTGAGCTCGCTTTCCCAAGCGACGGGACACGGCGACCTTTAGCAGCGATGCAAACGCGGTGCAGTCGTATCGATGTAATCACGCGGTTGTAGCGATGCAATCGAAAGAGAAACGTTGATGGTAAACGGCGAAATTAGCGCTTCTATTCCAGAGTCTGAAAGCATTTTTTTTAGCAGCGAAGTAAACGCGATGCAAGCACGCGACTGGATCGATACAAACGCGCGATTGCATCGCTACACTTGGGATATCCCTTTTTAAAAACAAGTTAGTCAAAACACTTTGAAAGTAACTAAAACGCTTACCGCGAAGAGCCAAGAGAAATAAGAAAAAACAAGGCGATTGGGTCGATGCAATCGTGCAATTTGTATCGATGCAGTCGCGCATTTGAATCGATACAATCGCCTATAAATCGCAAGTGTTGCGATGTGTATAACCGTAAGCCGTGTGTAACCATTCTTAAAAACTTCCACCTGGCAGTAAATGACTTAACTCCACTGTGGCAAGCCGTGTCATTTTAAAAAGTGACTTGAATGGTATTTCTGTTCTGTGTGCTAATATATATAAAAAAAATTTAAAACAAACTGTAGCCCAATAAAGGATGGAAAAAAATAATTGGTTTTCACGGTCTAAGCTGTAGCCGTTCAAAAGTGTAGAAGCCTTGATTGATTCACAATGTCCTCAACAAAAATACAAGAGAAAAATATTCAGGTAAATATATATGTATATTCCATTCTAAGTATATTCCTATATTCCCAGTTTATTGTATGTTTGTAATTTATTTCAAATTCGCACTAAGCGCGTTTTCTGCCTAATGCGAGCGGCAAACATTGGGATTACAATGCTCTGTGTTTGCCGCAAACAACAATTTTGAATAATAGAATAAAGACGTGAATAGTAGAGTTGCAACATTCGGTTACTATTCGGTATTCGGCCTGACTTTAGCTATTCGGCCGAATATAGAATACCTAAAAACAGTAGAGGTTTGTCTCTACTAGAAAAAATACAATAAATTATCATGTAACTTCTATTATTTCTTATATTATAATCTCGCGATAGCCCAATTTTTCGCTTCTTTCTTTAAACGATACGAACGAAAATTACTTATGTAGTTTATTCATGACTAAATAAACGCTAGTTAAGTCAACCAAGTACCTACTTATTATTCGCAAATCACAATAAAATTAACCAAACTGAAGTCTGAAGTGAAGTCAACTGTTACTTCCTTCATAAAAATTCGACTTAGAATTTTTATTATAAATTTGAAATCCAAATTAAAAAGTTGTACAAAATTATTTATTATAACTAACTGAAGTTAGTTACAATAAGTGTAAACTACACAGTAAATTGTACTTTTTCGATTTTTGTACGTGCGTTAATAAGGCCGAATATTTGGCTATTCCACTACGCTCCAGGTCGAATATTCAGACTGAATATACTATTCGTTGCAACACAAGTGAATATACATTTTTTTTTAGGCAAACGCGCACCATTCGTCTGCCATTTCGCTCAACATGAAGTGATATTGTGACCAAGTGCTTTTGTATTAAATTATAATATCCTATCACCTTATTAATAACGTTATTGCAAACATTTGGGTGCATGGCAGGGCACGGCAGTAAATATGTAAATTATAAAAAATTCACGTGAAATAGAAGGGCATAGAGGCTGTTCTTATACATTTTGTCTTCTGGCGTGTTTGTGCAACAAACACTCGAAAATTAAGGAGTCACCATAAACATATAGCCAATTCTATGTAAAAGCTGGAATTTTCACACGCAGATTTGTTTTTATTTTATTATTAAAGCTTTGAGTGACTCTGCAGCTGCTGTCGTGTCGAGCACCACCAGGCGCGCGAATTGTTCATCGTTCTGTTTGGAATATTTTAGTATGTATGGTAATCCGTTAACATTACAATAATTATGGTATGAACTTGATGCAGCAAATAAAGAACAGTCTGCAGACTATCCAACTTTTTATTTTTAACTAACTTCAAAAAGGAGGAGGTTCTCTATTCGACTGTCTTTTTTTGTATTTGTGAACCGATTTTCGTGATCCTTTTTTTGTTGAAAAGAGGGTACCTCCATAGTGGTCCTATTTCATTTTGAACAAAATCATCCACCTCTAAGGGTGGCTGATCACGCATGAACATTCATTTATATAAATAGCGATTAAATTTTACTTAAGGAGCAATTATTTTAATGGTTGGTTTTTGCTATTCTCCAATTCAAGGCGTTTCTCTCTCTCAATATACTTTGAGTAGTGAGATCCGATTTTTATTGTCAGTCTCCAGTGTCAAGTCCTGTGTAATGGCGAACTAGGAGATATTTCAATAAAACTTGGCAAATAGATGTAATTCCACGTACTTTTGAGGTCGATTTTTTTAGTACTCTGTACGGAGATTATTTATTACGATACCAAGTGACATGTCGAACAATTCGTACGCCTGGTGTTAAGCGACGCGCTTGTCCATAGCAGTTGCAATGCCACTCGGAACTTTAAATCGCAAAGAAACGCCTGGCACCCTGAAACATACGTTAACAAATCCCATGTGCTATGTGTAATTTCACCAGCACCCTTACCATTCCAAACCGAAATACAGTAATGCTCACATTACTGCTTGACGGCACGACAAATAGGTAAGATGGCAGTGCTTCCCTGGACGAACTCTGTCACAAGGAGTAGTACTACTATTAAAGAGAGTAGAACTATCGTGTTTGGATTATTATTCTTAACTTATTACTCATTAAATTGTTCTCGACGAGTTGTTACTGCGGTCGTGTCGCTTACCTTACCACCTTTTTTTTTTTGACGGGAGGAAATCTTTATGGATACCCCTGAGCCCAGGGAGACTCAGGTGTCGCGGTGTCATCCGCAGCGCCGCACTCGTGGCACGACGGGGATCGGGGATGGTTCCCTCCTCGCCACCTTGTGCAGGTAGTGACCGAAGCAGCCGTGCCCGGTCAGCACCTGCACAAGGTGGTACGACAGTGGCCCGTGGGACCGGTTTACCCACTCTACTAGGACAGGGCGGATCGCCTCTATGGTACGAGCGCCATAGGGGGATCCGCCAAGCCCTCTTTCCACCGGTCCCGCAACTTATCTTACCACCGGGCGCGCGACTTGTTCGACCCGTCATTTGGTTTATAAAGTACGTTCAAAATCTGTTTGTATCTTAGTTTGTACGATAGTATACAATTTATTGTATTTCAGTTGAGTGGTTCGAAACACAGAACAATAAATACAATAGAAGTGGTTCGTTAACGTCCGTAACGTGCTAACTATAGATCTCGAAAGACCTCCTTGAGCTCAGTCCGCCATTTTCGCTGTGTATGGTATGGTTGTGTCATTGTTTCGTGTAAATTCTCTAAAATTCTAGAAAAATGCCTTATTGTGCTGTTTTGGAGTGCAAAAATGATAGCCGTACCAAAAATCTACAGTGCAGTTCGGTGCACATTCGGAAACGGACGCGATCCACTACGCAGTGAGAATTATTATTATAATTCGAGTTTCGCGCGGCATATTAGCCCGCTGCGACAAAGTGGCAATGTGTTCCCAACACCTCATAGCCAATGAGCTTTTGGCGTTTATCCAACACGCCATGGATACAATAGACGAGGTCAGCATAGTGCAGATCTGCAAATCCAACTTCAACGAGGATGAGATTTGCAATGGCAAGATGCTGTTGTTACAGAGCCTCGGCAAAGCCGAACAGATGCCATCTCGCCGGAGGGATGGAGGCGTGACGAGTCTCCAGGATAATGCAATTCATATCATCGGAAAGTCTTATATTAATAAATTTTAAATTTTCTGTTTATTGATATAAATTTTTTGTTACAAGGAACGAAAGTAAAGCTTATGCCCCTGCAATATGGTCGCTTCTTTTTTGGAGAGCTAAATTTATAACTCGCAATTCGTTGTCGTTCAGCAATTAACCTCTAGATGGCGGCACATTGATTGAAATTGCAATATAACATCAAAACGTTGTTACTTGTAATAATAGGTATTGATGGTATTGAACTTTCAACGTTATGCCAAAAGGGTAAAGTTAAAATTATATTAACTATCCAGAATTTGTTATTTCTTTTTAAATTTGAAACTACGACCAATCAATATCAAGATTTTGTAGTGTTTCAAATTAAGAATGTGAGAGTTTTGGCGATATCGATTCCGATAGTAATCGAGGCATAAGGGACTTCCATTGTGTTTTTTCTTCCATGGGGCTAGGGCCTATTAGGATACCTAGGGTGCTAGGCACACACCTAAGGGAGCTAGGGTTCTTCTTGCCCTACCTTATTAAGTTCATTCTGTAGGCAAACTGTACAAGCTATGCATCGTTAGGGTAAGTTTCGATATGTCGGACCTAACGTAACTGTTTTTAAATAGAGAGTTTTAAACTCTACCTTATGCTATTTAAAACCGATATTTGACTACTTCTGACTTGCCGCATTTTAGTTAGTGAACGGCGGATATTAACTTGTTGCAGTATGTTGTTCTGTATCGGGTGGTTTTTAAAATTTTAATTTAATTTTTATTATGTAAGTGATATATTATGTTATTGTTCACACATTGTTCCAGTTAAAAGAAGAGCCTTCATCCCTGCCCGTGAACGTCAGGACACGAGGAATCGCAAAACAGCCGCGACGACTTAAGAAAGTATTCATTACCCTCATATTATTGGCATTATGCGCTACTTACTTCCTGGGTGAGATTCATTTTAATATTTAGAATTTAAAAATTTAGTCTTAAGTGAAACTAAGAGCACTTTCAAATTAGACATTTAAATTGACACCACTGTGGCGCTGCAGCCGCAACGTTACTAATTTTCATATATTATGCGCGCCACTTTTGCAGTCACAATTAAGCGTGAAATAACACAGAGAGCGGGTGCGGGTCGGTACCGCGGCGGGTCTAATTTGCACCCGTCCCGCGCCCGCGTTCGGTGTGTTGTCATCCATATAAATACACGGAATTAGACCCGCGTCCGACCCGCGGCCGCTCTCTATGTGTATCACGCTTAATTGTGACTGCAAAAGTGGCGCGCATATTATATGAAATTTGAAAATGAAGTAAAAATTAAGTGCTACAGACCCGCGGCTACCGCGCCACAGTCGCGCCATTGCAGCGCTTCTATCAACGTTTAATTTGAAGGCGCCCTAAGACGAGCACTACAACGTTCGATCTAGCCGTTTCTAACTACCGTGACGCATTGGCCATTGTGTCGGGTAATCATTTACAGTATTATATACCCATCGTGTAGATTACAATTTGATCTCACTATTCTTATTGGTTATTAGAAAAAGATCGCATTGTGTGAAGCGGGTCTTTTGAAAACAATTCGGCGTTGTAAGTGAACGGTAGTTTGCCTAATACGTAATTCAAGGGGTGTAACAATGACAAAAGCGAATTATACTATAATACCTGTTATAAGTATTTATAAGACAAGTAGTGCAATTCTCGCCTACACGTGTATCGCTCGAAGCTAAGGGTTGTCACATTATTATTTTAGTTGTACCTATTAAAATTAAGGTACTCATTACATTCTCGTGCTATATTAAAATCGGTCATTCTCGGACCAGTGTGCAGTGTTCACTACTGACCGATTAGTAAGTATCTCGATTATAGGAGTATTATCATGAAATAGAAATTATATGTATTAGTTGCTCATTTTTCTCTGGGGAATCCGCCCACTAATTAAGTAGTAGAGTTTAATCAATAAGACGATTTCAAGTGCAATTTCCTTATCTATGAAATAAAGATTGTTTGAGTTTAACGGAAATTCCATTTGATATACTCTCATTTTGACTAATTTTGTTTCGCTTTTGCATTGAACAATAAACGTACGTTATTTGTAAAAATTGAAGGCAATAAATGTTACAAAATACAATCTAAATTGATAAGTAAACCCTTAATTAATCTCAATCTCTCAAAGCTCAATAATTTTAAAATGATCTAATTTCAAAATTTAGTGTATGCCTTTGCAACAAGAATAATGAAACAACATTTGCGTTTGTTCGTAATAGACTTGATCGACTTCAATATAAACTGGAGACCACGTACAGTTGTCAAGTCAATCATGGAACTGAAGAGAAACAATGGTACTGATATGTTTTGAAATTTGTATACAAATCGATGGTTTTATGTTCCTTTTTTTATACCAATACCTTTTTCTTTATAGATTATGACGGTAAGTGAAAGTTTATTGTTGTTAGAATTTACAACAGCTGCGTTTATTACCAGAAAAAAATTATATACTAAGTTGCGTGATCTAATTGTTTTATAAACCACTAGTTAAATTATGTGTACTTGTGATAACTCTGTGCCATAACAAAAGAAAGCGTAAATACCAGTTCGAAGCAAAACGCAGGATCGGTTTTAGATGGTCGGGGAACTTACTTTACTTCCTGCTTTCCTACCTAGATCTATTTAAGTAGCAGTAGAGCTCCTTGTGAAAGAGTTCATCCAGGTTGGTACTGCCAAATTATCTATTTCTGCCTCCAAGCAGTAATGTCAGCATTATAGTGTTCTGATTTTGAAGGGTAAGGGTGCTAAAATTACAGGGGGTAAAATTACAGACACGTGGGACTTATCAAGTTAGGTCTCAAAGACAGGCGCAGTGGCAGCGTCCCTCTGATCTTTGCTATCTTGACGTACGCTATTTTTGCATAATGTTAGAATACCCATTTTCCTATATTATTGAATCAAGACACTCAAAATTTCTTGATTCCATTTATTTAGAACCGTGTGTTATCAAACGTTTTTATAGCTCTCGTGATTTAGAACTTATGATAAAATTGCCGCACACACTGATACGGAATTTACACTTATTATTGTAACTAGAGCAAAAGTAAATTAGTTTTTTCTATTATTACAATTTACTATAGTGTCGGTTGTTACGTGTTGTGGTTTGCGATTTTGAACTAAGTTGTGTTGTGAAAAAATTTGGGGTCACGCCATCGATATTTGAATCCTTGTCCTGCAAAAACAAGCTGTTAGAGTAATTTACAATGTGGGTTCCAGAGGGTCTTTGAGAGAGAAATTTACAGAAATTTAATATTCTTACACTAGTGTCACAGTACATTTATGATAATTTAATTTATAATTAAGTTTTTATTGAAAGTCCGGATGTTTCACCATGATGATATTCAATTACTTTTTGTGAAATTACTCCACTAGTTTGTTACAATTATTAATACAAAGATCGAACACTTAGAAAAAAACAAAGATGGCGCTACGGCAAAATAAGTCGTTATAAACCAAACAAAGATCCGACAGATACACGAAATAATGGCGATAATGGCTTTACGGTAGGTTTCGCCACTCGGGGGAAGTCTCTCCACCAACTTCCGTGCAGATGTACCTGGTTCGGTAGCCTTCAATAGATATTGGAACTTATCGTCGTCGTTAATAGGTGAATCTTGATGTATTTTTTAAACTGTGCCCAGAACCCTATCTAACTCTCCACTTTTTAAACAAACTGCTTGAATTCTAGTGCCGGTAGTTGGAATTTTCTTTTAATAGTGGACTTGTCAATTGGTGTTTTTATACTTTGGTGATTATGAGATGCTGACAATATTGACTCGCATTTAAATTTGAGGACACTAAATTGAATTTCACGATTGGTAGTTTCTTCCAGATCCAAAATCGATAGCAAGTCATCTTCTGTAATGGTGGTGTCTTCAAGTAACGCAGCTTTTAACAATTCATCATTTTTAAAAAGATGTCCCGCCTTTGTTTTTAACGCGCTAAACAGCCTTTCCAGATCAGGGCTTGCTTTTCCGAGAATCACGGCCTCGTTCAATTTTTTAATGTAAAAAATATAAATGTAAATGGTAAAAGCCGTGCGGTAAATCCTGAGGTCCTTTTTTAACTCTTCTACAGTCGTCACAATGAATGGGTTGTATTAAAATCATTAGAAAAGGGGTTGGCTGTTTAAATAGCCATGTATTTATAATAAGGAAAAATATCTACTGTCTTAAAGAAACGAAAAAACAATGAAACAAAAAGGAAGGATAAAAAAAAAAAATTACTCTGGTTCAAACTAAAACTAAAAGTAGTTCCGAACAACAAGCACATAGAAAAATTCGTGAAGTCCGCTGGTTCGTTCGGCTTAGTTGACATAACGTCTGCCACGGTGTGGTGGCAGACGTCGGTTCGAATACGGCCGAATCGAAGGAATTTCTAAGGAGTTTCTAAGTGTTCATGATCTTTGTACTAATAATTTAGTTTATGTTAAGAAGAATAGTATTTTGAGAAGCAATCTTTATGAGAAATAGTGACAGACATAACATTAATACGAGGAATAAAAATAAACGGGCTGTTCTTGATAACCGTCTTCACAAAGCCACAAATTGATTTAAGAAGCAATGTATATTTAATAATAAGATTCCAGTTGATATTAACAACCGGACGTAGTTAAACAAAAAGGATCCAATGCACATCCAGTCACTTTCGAGATATGGCAGTTTAAAAGTATTTCCCACTGTTGTTTTGTTTTCAAAACTTATGACATTAACATGACATTTCATGTAACTCCAGAGATATTTATATAAGTTTATATGTTGGATTTTTTTCCAAATCTAAGAGGTTGACTTTAGGAACCGTTTGGTACATATAACTAATATTTTATTCCTACATTCTATTCTTGTTACTGAGTAAAAAGCTAGAATGTTATTGAGTTTGTTATATAAGTAGTTCCCTAGGAAACAGAAAAATTTTCCTGCAAGTTTGGTCCTGTAAATTACTGAAGGGCAGACCGTGTGTTTCCTTCTTCTGTTGTTGTTTGTAGGATCAAATTTCAGTTTGGAGTGTTTGAGCAGAATCGTGTGTAAAATAAACAATTGACGTACCGTTAAGACTTTACAACGTTGGTATAGCTCAGTAGTAGGATACAACCGTGGAAGGAAGAGACTCACTTTCAGAATTAGCCTCTGGGCTCTCTCAAGTGGAAGTAATGTTGAAGCTGATGCTCCACCCCATATTGTGATGCAGTATGTCAAAATTGATTGGCAAAGTGCCAGATAAACCATCCTGACAATCTTGGGATCACTCACATGTCTTAAGTTTCTAAAAATATATGTAAGCTTACGGACTCTAACTGACAGGGCATTAATATGTTCATGGAAACTCAATGTATCATCAATGATAACACCCAGGTACTTGATAGAGGAGGATCTTGAAATTGTAGGACATGTACAGGGAACAAAGGACTGATGATGAGAATGGGCTATAATGTTAAACGTCTCATGTTCAGTAGTGGGTAACTTTCTAGCTCTGAAGGTAAGGTACTTTGTTTTATTTGTATTAAGGGTAAGTTTATTGTGCCTTAACCAGTTAGACACTGCATCAAATCCCTTTTGGGCCTTCCCATAAACCTCTTCCCAAGTATCTCCTTTAAATAGGAGAGCAGTATCATCTGCAAATGAGATAATCCGGCCTTCCCCGAGATCTAGATCACAGAGATCATTCATATACGTTAGGAAGAGGGTTGGTCCCATCACACTTCCCTGAGGAACACCGTTTTGGATGGGGAGGTCGTCACTGAAATTCTGATTAATCCTTACTCTCTGATATCTGTCAGTCAGATAACTCTGGAATAGTTTGAGTTGTAAGCCCCTCACTCCCAGGCGTTCTAGTTTTTGCAGCAAGAGTGGAACTGAGACTGTGTCGAATGCTTTTGCTAGGTCCAGGAAAACTACGATTACC